TAAAGATTGACTTGACTTGAAGTATTAGACATCAAACAATCTAAAAAAAACAGTAGATGTGCATTAACAAATAAATGTAAACACTTTAGTAAAGGGACCATTTCTCACTATTAACTAGCTGCTTATTAGCATGCCTATTATTAACATATTGGCTGTTTATGAGTACTTATATAGCACATATTCTGCATTACCATATTCCACATCCCTAATACTACCCAATACCTAAACTTAATCACCTTACTAACTATTAATAAGCAGCAAATTAGGAGGTTGAGGCAAAAGTCGTAGTTAATGTTTGTTAATTGTGATAATTGAACCTTAAAATAAAGTGTGGCCAAAATATGCAATACCATTCAAAAGTTTGGAGGCAGTAAGATTATCATTAATGTTTTAGAAAGAAGTCTCTTATGTTTAAAAAAAAGACAGCAAAAACAGTACAAACTGTTTTCTATTGTAATATATTTTAAAATGCAATTTATTCCTGTGATCAAAGCTGAATTTTCAGCATCATTACTCCAGTCTTCAGTGTCACATGATCCTTCAGAAACCATTATAATATACTGGTTGCTGCTCAATAAATATTTATTATTATCAGTGTTGAAAACACTTCTGCTGCTTAATTTTCTTTGCAAAAATTCTTTCTAACCCTAAACTGTAGTATATCAACCAATATTATATAAAAAAATGAATTTTGGTTAATAACCGATATGATACTGAAATATTCAGCAATGAACGGATCCACCACAGAACCTACTGAACAAACTATACGTCCATCTCTCACAGCCATCTTTTCATTAAAATTAAATTAAATATGGCATCTGACTAAGGTCAACTGATAAAGATTTTTTTAGGTGGGTTAGTCTGAAGTAATTCGAATCATCTTTAAATAAAAACAATGTCTATATACAATATAGTACAGTGTATAGCAGGAGTTTAAATCGTGTCAGCTTGGCATTGCATTACAGGTAGAAATCACATAGAGCTCACGCAAATAAAACAACTCGAGTTCACATAAAAAATTATCTTTGACTCTATACTGTATGTGTGTGTGTCTCTCTGATGCCCCTGTCTCTCTCCTCTGCTTTTACCTGTCTCTCTCTCCCCTGCATAATGTAACGCACATACATCGGGGAAGCGCTCATGCTAACATTCAGCTCTACACTATTTTGACCCACTTTCATAAAAAGCCTTCATAGGAATCTGCTCAGCACTGATAACCAACCAGACACTTGAGGTCCCATACACATTCTCTCTCTCCTGTTCCTGCTCTGATGTGAAGCCAGGTTTGCGTTTTCTTTTGGTAAAGGCAGGTCTGAGAGAGGATCCGGGCTTAGATCAGTACTCAAGAGCCCCCGCGTCCCTAGAGCTGGCAGTAGGGCCGGTCTGTCCGCTGTGATTAGATTAGATTCACACCGCAGCGAAGTGACTGCTGCTGCTTTTAATGAGCCAGCGATAACAGTGGGACTGCGACTACAAACTAATTATGGATGCAAGTCATTTAAAACAGAAAGAAAGAGCGAGTGAGATGAGAAGGAAGGGCACATATAGTATGTAAACAAACTTTTATTTTGAATGGGATTAATCGCGATTAATCGTTTTGCAGCCCTAGTTTGCTTGACTGTTAAACTGCTATTCATCACGCAATCCACCTTATTTTTCAACGCGGAAGTAAGCCGTTTTCTTAGAATGTGCGAGATGTCCGGTTCATTAGCCGGGGTAGGGTAATAACGAGAAGAATAACAAAGTGCAGTAAATGGTGACACCAGTTTGCAATATCAAGCAGCAAAACGAGCAGTTTTATACAGCTAAAATAGCTGGAAGCGAATGACAACGGAAGCTAGACCCATACAATTTACAAATGGCCTCACCCGCTCTTACAGGAAAAATAAGGTGGATATAATACGTCAGGAAACAGCAACTTAAGATTTTGTCATGCGACATGCTAATGGTAAAAAAAAGTGGCCCAAAAATTCTCCATATATTTCAGCATTGAAGTAGGCCATTTTCTGTAAATGTGCGATACAATTAATTTGCCACCATAGGTAATTAACTAGAAGAATTAGAAGTGCAGTAAATGGTAAAACTATTTGTTATTGTCTTCCGCCAAAATAGTTTTCCGCCATTTTGGAGAGTGCCCCAGAACGTACTCAATGTAATTAGCGTTGTTTACGTTCAGCATGCATGCGCTGTCTACTGAAATACTAAAATTACGGTTGAACCCCTGATGTCACATGGACTATTTTACCGATGTCCTTGCTACGTTTCTGTGCGTTGATCGTGGCAATACCCTTGCTATCTATGCAGGGTCAGAGAGCTCTCAGATTCCATCAAAAATATCTTAATTTGTGTTCCGAAGATGAACTAAGGTCTAACAAGTTTGGAACGACATGAGGGTGAGTAATTAACAGAATTTTAATTTTTGCGTGAAATATCCCTTTAAAAACAAGGGGGATAAAGCTACGGCTGGACAAACGTGTACAAATACTGTTATGCTAAGTACTGAAAACGTAGCTACTGTAAATTACTTTTCCAAATTTTCATTAGCGCAACTATGTTTTGCTACTTGCTATTCCTGATCAGTTTAAGGGTGCTGTCATTCTAGAAAGCATTTAATTGGACACAAATTTAAGACTGTGTCTTTACATATCTTCAGTCTAGAAGAGAAACATTATCATTTCCAAATGCTTCAAAGTTAAAAGTTTATTTTGCCAACTTTTAGCAGTGCACTAGCTTACAGATGTCCTCGAAACGAACAGGCACGAAAGCCACCAAACGGACATTTTGATTTCATGCACTCTTTAAATCTCCTGTGCTATGAAGCAACCTCAGAGCAATAAAACTTTCCTCGGTGTACTTATAATCACTTTATTTGTACAGAGCATACATATAGAGTTCACCCGAGCACATAAAATACAAAAAGACAAACCGCCTGTTCTCGATGAGTGATGATGCTCAAAGGTCAGTGGAAAAGAAAAGCAAACAAGAATTGAAAGTAAAGGATAAAAAGTTGACCAATTCTCTGCAATCTAATCCTTCTTATACATGAGGTACATTCCTCCAGGGAATGTTCAGCGGTGGTAAATGAAAGAACGGTATTCCCTACTTTTTTGGAAGAGGGGAAAACATTAATAGTCAGCGGAGGGCCGGTGTTTGACCCGTACAAACATGGCAGTGGCTTATCTCATCCCCTGGGCTTCACTCTGGTCCTCTCCTACTTAGTGAGGCTGTTAAAGCCTATTCTGCCGAGAGCAAATAATTGCTGTGTATATGCACTGTGAACAATATTTTGAAACTGAAGTGAATTTGTACGGACCTATTCAATTGAGGAACAAAATTCCAAAGAAGTAAGAATTCCAAAAGAAAACAGCACACCTATCACTGCTAACAGTATCTATACAACACTGGAATGCACTTTCTTTACCTGGCAAACTCGAATCTTTGCTGCTACTGGCATCTTCCAAGAGTGTTATACACACACATTCAGATTTCCCACACAAACACACAACCCAGGCTTCATTGGAAAAAAATGTGCCTGGGGTGATATTTCTGAAAAATAATACTAGGTTGCTTCTTGCATGTTTCATGACGCTTTCAAAGTGAAATTTCCAGTGAGTGGCGCCAAAAGTGCTTTCTCTCTGATAAATCTGGCAATTTTATTATGCTGGTTGTTGTATGCATCATGGCAGTTTTTAAATGAAATGTCCAGTGCCACTAAAAAGTTAATGCTCTATCACGTTTGAATATAACGTACCACCTACAATAAACCTGACCCTAAACCTAACCGATAATGTTAAAAAAACAGCAAACTTAAGATAAAAACACATTTGCTGTTGCAAACACGCCATTTTAGCTTGCTTCTTCAAGTCTTTCAGCTGTTTTATTATAACTCGTGTTTCACAGGACTCGCAAAGCACTCAAAATCTCAAGGGCAATGCTGTATCAGGTTAGTCTCAGCATCAGACGTCACGCCCACGGACCGTTGGCTAAACGTCTGATGCATATGGAACACAAAAATGGAAACACTTCAGGAGTGTCGAAGTCGTCATCGGATTGGTTGAATTCTACAGGATTTCCGGGAGACGTGTGTGTCGCGTTCTTTAACGTTCCGCCTGGAAACAAAGATGCCGTGACGCCAAACCCAAAGGTCTGGCTACGTGAGACTAGTATCAGGTGCACTACAGAGCAAGTTTACTATGTCAGAAAAGCCATACATATGGAGCTGGTTATCCGATGCAAACATAAAAAATATTAGTTTGCCAATCGTAAAAGTGTTTTGAGGACATAGCATAGTACAAGTGTGCCGCACATGTCTTGAAAAGTGAAGCCAGAATATTTCGATCGCCCCCAGGTGACTGGATGAAGTATAGGTCATAAACTCCATGTAATCTATTACTGCCACTAGTGTTCATTTCAGATTAAAACAATAGCAAATTAGATGTATAGGTGTGTTTTTGGAGTTTTAACAAAATGCAAGTAAACGCATTTTTTCAATGTGTATTTGTAGCTAAAAAGTGCTTACAACTCGAAATCCACTTAAACTTTTAGGCACACTTACAAAAACACCATTTTACAAACTGAGTTGAGTAATACAGCGTTTCTCACAAAATGTATGAGAGTAGTGTGCTCCCCCTCACATGGATCAAAAAATGGGTTTTACATCCATATTTCATATTCTTTAACATTGATAATTCATACGGATTAGATACAGTATATTCTCACAAAACAAAGCTAGAAGGACACAGAGCCATCATCTCCTGAATGTTTATGTAAGACTACAATCAGACAGACATTTCTTTAATAAAACTGATAGTGTCTGTTTTGGACACATAAACAGGGGAAAGAATGTGTTGTTTGGACAGACTTGCATTTTTTTCTTATCTCACACACACAAACACACACACACTTTTTGACCTGAGCAGACAGACATTAGCCCTCCACACCAGCAGAACTACTGCCAACCAGACAGACGGGCACGATAGGAGATAAGAGAAGATACTCACAGCTGTCCTCCTCCTCTGTGATGACACTGATGACGTAGCAGGCGTAGATGAAACCCAGCAGCTGAGGATACAAACACAAACATGTCAGTGTATCGACAGAGACTGACAGCACAAAGAGCGTAAAAGACAGACAGGCTGACATCAGACTCGGTCAGATCTTCTGAACCGTCTTTTCACCTTTCACTTTCGACTCATGTCTTCACATCATTATTCTGTGATTGTGATTGCCTGGACAAAAATATCCTGTGATTCTAGGGTGATGTGGGTGGTCGCCAGGGTGTTGCCATGCAGTTGCTATGGTGTTCCGAGCGCTTATCACGTTGGTATTTCATTTACTTCATGTTTTGGGTGGTTGCTTGGACATTATTAGGTTGCTAGGATGTTGCTATGCAGTTGGTAGGCATTCTGAGTCGTCTAAGTGGTTACTAGGGTATTTTGAGTAATTGCTAAGGCGTTTCTCTGTCGTTGCTAATGCTAAGTGTCCTGAGTCGATTTCAGCATTCTTTCATATGGTTGCGAAGGTAATCTAAGTGATTGTTAAAGCATTGCTATGTGGTTGCTAGGTGTCATGAGTGTTTTAGCATGCTTTTGTATGGTTGCTAAGGTAGTCTGGGTGATTGCTAGGGGGTTGATATAAAGTTGGTAGGTGTTCTGAGTGATTGTTATGACGTTGCTATGGAGTTGGTAGGTGTTTTGAGTGATTACTAGGGTTTTGCTATGGAGTTGCTAGGTGTGCTAGGGCGTTGCTATGGAGTTGTTAGGTGTTCTGAGAGATTGCTAGGGTGTTGCTATGGAGTTGCTTGGTGTTCTGGGTGTTTTTAGTTTGCTGCTTTACGGAGTTGCTAGGTGTTGTCAGTGATTGTTAGGGTGTTGCTATGGAGTTGCAAGGTGTGCTAGGGTGTTGCTATGGAGTTGTAAGGTGTTCTGAGTGATTGCTAGGGCGTTGCTATGGAGCTGCTAGGTGTTCCGAGTGATTACTAGAAGGTTGCTATGGCGTTGCTAGGTGTTATGAGTGATTGCTAGGGCATTACTATGGAGTTGCTAGGTGCTCTGGGTGTTTTTAGTGTGCTGCTTTATGGAGTTGCTAGGTGTTGTCAGTGATTGATAGGGCATTGCTATGGAGTTGCTAGGTGTTCTGATTGATTACTAGGGCGCTGCTATGGAGTTGCTAGGGCGTTGCTATGGAGTTGCTAGGCGTTCTGAGTGATTGCTAGGGCGTTGCTATGGAGTTGTTAGGTGTTCTGAGGGATTACTAGGGCAATGCTATTGAGTTGCTAGGTGTGTTAGGGTGTTTCTATGGAGTTGCTAGGTGTTCTGGGTGTTATAGTGTGCTGCTTTATGGAGTTGCTAGGTGTTGTAAGTGATTCCTAGGGCATTGCTATGGAGTCGCTAGGTATTTTGAGTGATTGTTAGGATGCTGCTATGGAGTTGCTGGGTGTTTTGAGTGATTTCTAGGGCGTTGCTATGGATTTGCTAGATGTTCTGAGTGATTGCTAGGGCGTTGCTATGGAGTTGCTAGGTGTTCTGAGTATTTTTAAAATGCTGTTATATGGTTGCTAAGGCACTCTTATGTGGATGCTAGGGTGCAGTGAGTGGTCACTAGGGTGTTGTTATGTGTTCTGGGTGTCTGCTTTATGGTTGCTAGGGTATTCTGGGTAATTACTAGAGCGTTGCTTACTGGCCCAAGTCCAAAGACCCAAACCCTATGAAGGAGATCATGTTTCTACAGGTTTACTGTATATTGTCCAACAAGTTAAGAATTGATTGTGATGTATATGTATATGTATATGCAAATGAAAATGATTTGATGCATCATTCATGTGTGGGATTAGTTACTCACCAAAGTTTAATACTCGGCACTAGGGGTTTGTTGAAATCCCTAACCATAAGTGTGTGCAGCAGGAATGGCAGGCACATCTAATAAACCATTAATTATGAGAAACACATGGTCGATAATACATTACTCAAAGAGACGTTAGAGAGAGTTTAACAAAGTCCTGTGCCAAGTGAACAGGGGACGTGTGTGTGTGTGTGTGTGTGTGTGTGGATGACAGGCATATTGACGGGTATGGCAGTGCCATAGAGGCAGATGGCACAGCTCTGCTTGAAAACACACACAGGGCAAACGCAAGTCCCAGAGAGTGGCACTATTCCAAACCAATTAATCTGTTATTGGGCAGACTGCCCGCGTACACCTACCCCGAGAAAAAAAAAAACGAATGCTGTGTGTTTGCATATGAACTAGAGAGAGAGAGAGAGAGAGGGAGAGAGAGAGAGAAATAGATACTGAAAAAAACGTATATGCCTAAATGAGAGTCTATGAGGCCTGTGAGAGGCTGTGATCGAGCGGCTGAACGCCACAGCGCAGGTGAGACACACAATTGCTGTGCAGTGCAAAGCGGTTAGACACATATCTGCTGTGCAGGGCAAAGCGGTTCAGACCTCCAATCAGCTTCTATTACACTGAAGGAGTTGTGAAATACCAATTGCATCAGAGGAAATGTCAACAACCAGACTGCCAACTACAGAGCAGAGCTGACTTGATTAGTATGTTGTATTAACCTTGAATCTGTTGCTCCAGGTTGCCATGTGTAGGCTGAAGGCTGTGGAAGTCATTTTAAGCCAGTAATAAAACAGTAATATTGTGAAATTTAAAATAAGTGTTTTCTATTTGAATATGTTTTTAAATGTCATTTATTCCTGTGATGCAAAGCTGAATTTTCAGCATCATTACTCCAGTCTTCAGTGTCACATGATCCTTCAGAAATCAGTATAATAAGCTGATTTGATGCTGAGGAAACATTTCTGATTATTATTATTGTTAAAAACAGTTTTGCTACTTATTATTTTTGTGGAAACAGTGATACAATTTTTCAGGATTCTTTGATTGATATAAAGTTTAAAAGAACAGCATTTATTTGAAATAAAAATGTTTTGTAACATTAAAAATAATACAACTTTGATCAATTGAATGCATCCTTGCTCAATAAAACTAATTTCTTTAAAAAAAAAAAATCCCAAACATTTAAAAGGTACTGTATTTTTTATTCATTTTATAAATATGTATTGCTCAGGGCTCTGATCATTCTCTATTGTAATAATAACTGGCTCACTGTACATTATCACTTGTTCCGACTGAATCACACAGCAGAACAGGCTATTTATTATTCAGCTATAAATATTAAATCCTTTGTTGAAGAGCTCTCTTACTCTGAGATCATGAGACAAATGTAACCCAAATGTAATAAATTCAAAACTTTCAAAACTACAGGGCATCTCAGGCGAAGAGTGAAAAGATCTGCACCTGAGATCTGACCACTCTCAGCTCTCTCAGCTCACAACACTTGATATCACGTTAATTATGGTCATTAAAAAACATAAGCTATTTAAAAGTCAAGGTCTTAAAGCCAGGACCCTCTGTTTCAGGCCTTCCTCTGCTGATTTTCATAGTTTCTTTCTACTCTCTGGTGAAGTGGTACAAAGTGATGCAGATTTAACCTGTACTCTCTCCTCTGATATATAAAGCGACAGAGCTGACAGGTTGGGTGAACGGTATTTCGGCTGTGTTTCATGGACTGATCATTCAGGTCAAAGGGTAAAGCTGCTGTAGAGAGACAAGGTTTCTGGGCCAGTGGCCTCCAACTCCCTCAGGGTGTTTCTCATGCCAGCTAATTCAGATTTCAATCTCTCAGCCTAGTCTCTATAATGCCTTTAATATGAATAGAATTATCTCAAAATTGTTTTTGTAATCCTTGTGGAATCTGCCTTAAGAAATAATCCTTAAAACTCATTAAAAATGCAATATAAAAGAAAAGAAACTTGGTAAAATGTCTGTGGCTGAAATTTTTTTTAGCCTGGGAATTCAGCTGATATCAAAGGCAAAGCTTAACTGCTCTTTAAAACAGTGCCGAACTTCAGAAAAAAGTGATACCATTTTGCAATTAAAGACTGTTTAC